AAAAGGGCTCAGGCCCAAGTGCAGAATTTGGAGGCAACTGTTACTCGTTTGGAGGAAGACCGTGCTGTAGAGCTTAAGCAACTCGCAGGGATGCCTTGGTGGAATTTTCCTCTTCTCAGACCTTTGCAGATTTGCTCACAGATAGATATTATGGGGGCTGGGAGGTTGCACGCAGGTGTGCTAACCATGTCTTTGGCACAAGCGAGGAGCAATAAGTGAAGTTTGAGCAGTTTTGGAGCAGGGTTGACCAGACTGGGAACCAAGATGTTTATGTGTATCTTGTTGTCCAGCCTCGCATTGCTACCTGTGGCATCCCAGATCATGTTGTTCTCAACAAGGTACCTGCTAAGTCTCCTGGTCTAGCTGCTGGGGTTGGGGTAGATTCCCTTCCTGCCAACCAATAAAGGTTTTGGTGGCCATCTCACTCTTCTTCCAGTGGCTCCTCTAATTACCCCTCTCCCCGCTCTGTAGTGAGCTAATATTTATCAGCTTTCGCTTTCTTCTTCCATTGGGTTGTGTGGTCGCCAAAGGTTATGTAGTTTTTGAGGCTTGTAGTTGCCTCGACTAATTGCCAGAACTGTCTGCTTTTCTTTTGTTTCCTAAAACAGTATTTTTATGTTTTTCGAATCTGCACTTTGGTTTTTCACCCAGTGCCTGGGGTTGTCTAGCACAGACTTTGTAGCTTATTTTGTTGCACTTGTTGTACTTGCTTTAATTCCCAATTTCCTTTCCTTTCGTTTGTTTTTACATCTTTATTGCGTGTGTCTGCTTGATGCGTGTTGGGTTCAGTTGTCAGAGGAAAAGGGCACTCCTCTTTATGCTATTTAGAGTTCTCCCCTCTCCTGGCTGACACTGCAGTACCCTTGGTTTTGTTGCTAGCTACCTTTGCTTAATAATGCTCTTTAGCCTTGGTTTACTTAGGCAAATTGTTACTTCAAGCGTCCCCGTTGTAACAATTTCCTACCAAGGCTGAAAACAATTTCAGCGCAGGATTGTAGTCCCTTTCTTTTGCGTTTTCATGCCCGTCCTCTGCCTCCTGGGCAGGGCTTTGGGTTTTTGTGCCGCCACTTTATTTTAGTACGATTTTTATATTATGCCACTATTTCTATGAACAGGGTTTCTACCTCTACTTTGTTATAGCGAGGCTTTAGTGAGGCGATAGCGTTGTGTTTCGTTCTTCTCAACTCATGCTGGGTTTTGCTTCGTTGTAGCAACCCTTGCCCTTCCCTGCTTGCATTGGAAGAAACATATAGTCTTTTGCAAATAAATGAGTAAGTTATGCAGTAAAATATTATATCCAAGGAAAGGCCTCACGCAGAGGTTAAGTATTCCATTGAAAATGTGAAACGCCTCATGCAGAGGTTAATGTTCGACTTCCTAGAAATTACAACTTAGCCAAAATAAAGTAGCCAAAATAAAGTTTTAAGCTTTGTCCTTACTTATAGTTAAACAACCTGTTAAAACAAAATATTGAATTACATGAAGAACCTTTTGAGGACGTCCGCGTTAAAGATATTTGTCAGGATACATCCATCTTGGTCAGAGAGTAGGTAGGCCCCTTGCCCTACCTTCTTGTGTATTATGAAGGGTCCTTCCTAATTTGGGCTCAGCTTTCCATGTAGCACCTCTCTGCTCACAACAGTTGTTCTTCTCAGTACTAGGTCTCCTTCGCTGAGTTCCCGGTGCTTCACTTTTCTGTTGTGAACTTTGGCCATTCTTCTTTTCTGAGCACCCGATCTCATAGCAGCTTTCAGCCTGACTTCTAGTAGGAGGTCTAACTCTTCCTTCATCTTGTCTTTGTTTTTCTGGCTGTCGTAGTGCTGCACCCTTAAACTTGGGAGTTGTACTTCGATGGGGACTACTGCCTTAGCCCCATATGACAGAGAAAAAGGACTTTTACCTGTTGCTTCTTTCTCTGTTGTTCTGTTAGCCCACAATACCTCTGGGACCAAATCAGCCCACAGACCTGTGTGCTCTTCCAGTTTCTTTAGAAGGGAATAGAGTATTTGCTTGTTTGCTGCCTCTGCCTGCCCGTTACTCTGCATGTGGCAAACAGAAGCGTTGGCGTACTTCGTTCCCATTTCTTCAAGGTAGTCTCTAATGGTGTCGCAGTCGAACTGGCAGCCATGGTAAAAAACTATGAACTGTAGGATCCCAAATCTGGTAATGAGAGTTTTCCATATGAATGTTCTGACCTGAGAGGCCTTGATATACTTTGTGGGCTCTGCCTCTATCCATTTTGTGAAGTAGTCCACGGCCACAATCAAGAACTTCCTGCCCCCTAAACCAGTGGTGAATGGCCCCAAGATGTTCATTCCCTACTAAGCAAACGGGATGGGACTAAGAATCGGTGTGAGGTTGTTAGCACGCTGATTTATCATTAGGGAGTACTTCTGTCATTGTTCGCACTTCTTGACGTAGTTCATGGCATCTTAGGTCAGGGTTGGCCAACATGCCTCTCGTCTGATGATCTCTACTGCCAAGGCTTTCCCTCCTATATGATTTGCACAGATCCCTTCATGATTGCTTGCTGCTCCCAGTCTAAGACACATCTGAGGATAGGTTTTGAATATCCTTTTCTACACAGCTCTCCATACAATACCACATATCTATATGATTCCTTTTTCATTGTTTTTGCTTGTTCTTCATCATCAGGTAGTGTTTCATGCAGTTTGTATGCCAATATATCTGAGTACCATGATCTTCGCTGGCTAGCGCAATTCACTTGCCTCTGCCCCTTAACACTTTTTCCTTCTAAAACTTCCACCATCACAATTCTACTTAGACTTTGCAAAGTCGAACTTGCTAGCTTGGAGAGTGCGTCTGCCTGACCATTTCAGCCCTGGGGACCAACTCAATATCAAAGCTAACCAACTGGGTTGTCAACTCTTTCACCGCGGCTACATTGCATTAACGGCTCTCTGACCTTGTACTCCCCCTGAGCTGGCTCGCTACTAGATGTGAGTCAGTCTGGAGTTTCACTTTTCTGGCACCCGCTACTAAACTCATCCTCAGACCTGCCAATGTAGCCTCGTACTCAGCTTCATTATTGGAGGTTTGGAATTTGAACTTGATTGCATATTCAAAGACATTGCCTTTTGGTAATACCATAATTATTCCAGCTCCATTGCCCGTGTGGGCAGCTGAGCCATCCACAGCCACCTTCCATGTTCCCATTTCTTCCTTTACTTCTTCGTAGCTTGCCTCTACTATGAATTCTGCTAAAGCTTGAGCTTTTATTGTCGTCCTAAGCTTGATTTCCAGCTCGTACTCAGTCAATTCTATTTCCCACTTTAGTAACCTGTCTGAGCCATCTATTCTCTGCAAAGATTTCTCCAGCGGGTAATTTGTTAATATTTGTATTACATGAGCATCGAAGTACGGTTTTAGCTTTCTAGCAGTTGTGACAACGGCCAAGGCCATTTTCTCTACCAATGAGTATTTCTGCTTTGCCTGGGTCAGGGCATGGCTAACAAAGTAAACTAGGTGTTGAGTTTTTCCTCTCTCCACTAGTAAGGTTGATCCTAATGTTTGTTGCGATGCAAACACATACAATTGTAGCCTCTCTCCTACCCCTGGACTTGTCATTGTTAGTAGGCTGACCAAGTGCTCTTTTACTTGGGCAAATGCCTCCTTTTCTGCTTGCTCCCACTTGAATGTACGATTGCCCTTCAGGAGCTGAAAAAATGGCAGAGCTTTATCAGCTGAATTGCTGATGAATCTGGTGAGGGTTGCCATCCTTCCTGTCAACCTCATAACGTCTTTGACGCTCTTAGGCTCTGAGAGGCTTAAGACAGCTTGTATTTTCTATGGGTTTGCATCGATCCCCCTTTCGCTCACCAAGAAGCCTAAGAACTTGCCCGTTGTCACTCCAAACACACATTTCTTTGGGTTCAACTTTATGTGATATTTGTTTAACATGCTGAATGTTTCTTCCAAGTCAGAGATATGGTTGTACGCTATCAAACTTTTTACTATGGAACCATCTACATATACTTCCACATTCCTTTCTCTTTGGTGAGCGAAGACCTTGTCCACGGGTTTTTGGAACGTTGCCCTAGCAGTCTTTAGGCCAAAAGGCATTGCGACATAGTTGAATACTCCTCCGTTAGTGATGAAGGGTGCTTTCTTTTGGTCTGTTTCGTACAGGTTGATCTGGTGGTAACCCGAGAAGGCATCTTAAAAACTCAGGAGTGCGTGCCCGCTCGTCGAGTCTACCATCTGATCTATTCTGGCAGAGGATAGCAGTCTTTTGGGCAGGCTCGATTCAAGTTTGTGAAGTCTACACACATTCTCCATTGCCCGTTGGCTTTTTTAATCATTACCACATTTGCTAGCCATTTTGGGTAGTCACAAGGTTCTATGAATTTCGCAGCCAAGAGCTTATCCACTTCCTCCTGGATGGCCTTACTCTTTTCTGTAGAAAAATTTCTCAGCTTCTGCTTCATTGGCCTTGAGTCTTCTATGACGTTCAAAAGATGTTCCATGATCTTTTGATCGATACCTGGCATTTCGTCCGCTGAGAATGCGAACACATCTACATTCTTCCTGAGCAACGCTATCAAGTTCACTCTAACATTAAGCTGTCTTTCCCAATCTTCACTGTCCTGGACGCATCTCCTTCGACTAATGCAACTACCTCGTGCTCCCCTTCTAGGGTTGGACGGGCTACATCTTCCCTCTCAGGCTCATAATTTTCCATGGCCAGCTTCTGCTTTTCCTTTTCTTCTTTATACTCCTGCCATTTCCTCTTCCTAGAGACTTTTCCTCTCTTGTGGTCCATATTTCTCTAGATTTTTCATAGCAGTAATGTAACACTACCTTGCCGTTTTCTGGCAGCCCCTCAATTTGGCTAAGTAGCCTCTATTGCTAGCATATGCTAATGCTAAGAGCAGCGTGGACACCACTCCACTTATCTTGTGGATGAGAGGTCTGCCCATTATCACGTTGTACGGAGATTGGGAGTTAATGACAAAGAATTCTGCTCTCACGTTTCTGGCCTAAGCTCCTTCTCCCACTTGGACTGACAATTCTATTATCCCCTCTGGTATCGTTCCTGAGCCATCAAACCTTGTGACTTCATAGTTCACCCTTTTGAGGTCTTTGCTGTCTAGGTGCATTTTGTGGAAGGCTTTTATGAACATGATGTTGGCTGAGCTTCCTCCATCTACTAGAACTCTCCTGACTTTCCAATTTTCGATTGGTATTGCGACTAGCAGAGAGTCGTCATGTGGGTATATGACTCCGTATTGATCCTTCTCGTCAAACACCACCTTTGGCTGAGGAGGAGGAGGAGGTGGCCACTTTCTATGCTCATTGTAGTTTACTTGATGGACCATGTCTTTGAGGTCAGCTCTAGCCCTGCGTACTGTTCCTCCATGCACAGGCCCGCCGCTAACCACTAACACGTCTTCTAGCTCTCTCTTTTCTTTGTCTTTCTCTTCCTCTTTACTCTTGTCACCCCTATTATCCTTCTACGGATCATTTCTGGGTCTATCACTACCCCGATTCCTGTCCTGCCTAGGGTATTGTTTAAATTGATTCAGGTACCCCCTTTTGATGAGTTCTTCGATGTTATCTTTGAGGTGAATGCGTTCCTCAGTCGTGTGACCCTTATCTATGTGAAAGTCGCACCATTTCTTTGGGTATAGGTTACTAGTAGTCATCCTTGGTGGTCTCTGCCACTTATCATCATATTTATTCACATTGAAGATGTGAGATCGGCTGTAAGTTAGCGAGGTGTATTGTTCGTATTTGCCCTGCAATCTTCCTCTGGCCTGAGGACTTTTCATTGTCTCTCCTCTACTGGTCCGCCCTTTCGTACCTAGTAGAGTTAGGTTCTGCCTTACCAGCTGCCTCTGCCCGGCCGGGCTTTACCCTTTTGCCTAATTTGGCAGAGGTTGTCCTTCTAGCCAACATGGCTCTGTCTGTTTCGTTCCCCTTAATGAATTCATGGGCCTTACCCAGGGCCTCTGCCAGTGTTTTCAGATTCTTCCTGCCCATGTACTCTCTGAATGCCAACCCTGGGAGGAGGCCGCTCTGCATTGCTAACAACGCCACCTCCTGACTCATGTTGGGAATTGACGTTGCCTCTTTAATTTATTGAACCGAGTGATGAAATCTCTGAGTGATTCGGTCTCGCCTTGCTCTAGCGACATTAGTTCTGTTGTCATTTTGATACAGTCTACCAGTGTGACAAAACGATCCATGAATAGTCTCTTCAAGCCTTTGTACGAGTAAACCGACCCTTTCTCCAGCAAATGATACCATTCCACAGCCAATCCTTCCAGGGTTGGAGGAAATTCTTTATACCAGACTGATTATGTCCATGTGTATAAGACCATATGATTCTCAAAGGCAGATAAATGATTCTTAGGGGTTGTTGTCCTATTGTACTTGCATGAAGGCATCTTGATTATCTCCATCGGTTCCTCCAGAATTTCCTAGCAGAAGGGTGAGTCCTCGGGTCCAACTCTATTCAAGTTTTTGGCCTCCAACTCTTTCAACTTCTTCCTTAGGGCTGCTGGCTCCTTCTACTTTTGGGTCAGACTGTGTACGGGTGACCTGATAAGAGTCTGCCTAGCAGATGTCTGCGTACGAGTAGAGCTCGATCCTTTTCCAAATAAGTTCAACATAGCCGTCATGGTAACCAGTTGATCCTTGCTGCACTGGGACAAGTTCTGCAGTATCTCTGGTATTTGCACTGTCTAGAACTTTCCCATCGGCGTTTGAGTAAACACCTCGTTGTTCTGGTTCATGTATGGCATTCCAAATCAAAATGTTTGAGCTGGTTCGATCAGTTTATGAGCTCCATTTGTGTTTTTGGTAATGCCAGAAGAAGCTCCAGCATGATTTAAGTTATGGGTATTGGTCGAAGTTGATTTTGCGGTTGCTTTTGCAAGATCAGATTTATTTTGTGGTGTTTGGATACTATCAGCTATTGGTGTTTTAATCGCTAGATCTGGTTTTTCCACCGTCATGGCGGCTTTCCCAGCCTCGAACAAGCTTACTGGTTGAGCTAAGGTGTCGGAACTCCCCTTCCTTCTAACGCCAATTGTTCTGGGTGTAGTTCCGGAGCCTAGCTGGTGACTGGTCCTTGCTAGTTGGGATTACCAGCACAATGAACATTGGTTTTGCCCTCGGGGGTGGTTTCGAGGAACCCCCCTCCGATGCTTAAGTTAGTAAGGTATTGGATAAAAATGGGTAAGTGATAAAAGATGAATGTGTGTGTAACCCCTTTTTCGTTGTACTTGGGTTAATATTTATAGTTGTTCTATTCTTGGTGCTGCAGGCTGAAGCTTGCTAAGGCCAGCCCTGGTGCTGAGCCCCTGGGAGATTATCCCTGACTTTAAGATGAAGCCCTCTAGGGTTAACCGTGAGGCTAAGCCCCCTGGAGGGTTTTTCTTTGCCTTGGAGTAGACTGGCTCGAGTGCGCACCCCTCAAGTAATGCTAGGAGCACAGGGCAGCTCAGCGGGAGCTACCTATACACTAACAAGTCATGCTTGAGTAATAAATAAAATAATAATAACCTCACGAAATAATTAGTAAATTCATTCCACTTAAACCATTAAATTTCAATCCTTCAATAATCCAAATGTGGTTATCAAACCAATCCAATAAAATATGCTTGTATTAACAATCCATACAAATAATTAATCCAATATAATTCAACTTGTTTGCATCCATAATTCCATACAAATTTAATCAATTCACCAAAATATGTCTCATAAACATAAGCACATGCATTAATTCAATGTTTAACCAAACAATTTTCATCCAAGAGTTCTCTAAACATGAAACTAAGTTCTTTCTTTTTGGTACCTAAACATGATACTACTTACAACGAATTAGACATGTACGTACCTCGTGTAATCAATTCTTTGTGCCACTTTTAATCACTTAAAAGTCTCCTAGAGAATAATCACCTCCTAAAAAACAATCAACAATCATGTATTAATACCCAAACTAATTTCCAGCAATATAATTTGACTTAAAAGTCCTTAAAACTTCCTTTAAAACATGTTTTTATGCTTAATTAATCATTAGAAATTCAATAGGAACAAAAGCCCCAATTTAATTAATTATTAGAACCCTAAAATTCCAATTTAAATAAATTAAAACCCTAGGTTTTAGAATTCATAAAATATGAAAATTTAAACATACTTATAATTTGAAAATATAAGTTTAAACCATCAATAACATGAATTTGATACTAAAATATAATCTTTATACTATAAAATCAAAACATAAACAAAATTAATAATTTTAAGCAAAATAAGAAAACAAAGGGGAGAGAGCAAGGAGCAGCCACGGGAAGGCTGCTAAACTACCGTAGGGCTGGCAGGTGGTCGCCGGTGGTCTAGGCACCGACCGGCGACCGGCGGCAGGGGCGGCAGGCAGAAGCAAGCAGTAGTGAGGGTGGAAACTCACATAATAAAGGAAAAAAGAAAAGGAAAAAAAAAAGAAAAACGAAAAAGAAAGAGAAAAAGAAATAAAATAAAGAGAAAAGAATTTAACTAACCTTTTTGTGTGGGGGAAAAATTGGGGATTCATGGGGTATTTATAGGAGAGAGAGTTATAGGGTAAGTAGAGTAAAATTGGGCCTAATGAAAATAATGGGTCAATTAAATAAATAAAATGGGTTAGGCTTTGTTTTAATGATCATGAATTGTAGGAAATAGGTGCATAAAAAAATCCTATAATAAAATAATTTTCCACCCTAAAATAATTTGAAAATTTTAAAGCAAATTCCGGAAAATAGAAATAAATATTAAACAGAAAATAAAATTTCATTATTATTTATTTATTTATTTATTTTTATAACTAGGCATCTTAGAGAAGTATTTAATACTTATACAATAATATTTTAAGTATACTCCATTTATACACATTCAACAATGAGATTATTCTTGCATACAATACTATGCAAAAAAAAATTCCTATCTAAACTTTGTGATGTAATCCATAGTTTTTTTTATTATTCGTGTATGTATTTCTTCCTCTGTGTTTCATTAGTGTAATATAATAATTTTTTTTTTAAATTTTGTAATTACAGAACTTTCATCCTATTTTTTGCAATTAGATATACATTTTTATAGTTAAATAATAATGTTAAACTAATGATAAATATTAAAACTTAACGTGCATGGCATAAGGTAACATTATTAGAATAATGTTGTGCCTAAATTTTCGTCACAGGTTCACTTGTTCGCAGGTTTTTAGGTTGTAGGTTATCATGAAGCCAGCCATCTGATTCCAGGTACTTTACGGAAATTAAACAAAGGCTTTTCTAAGGAATATTGCAAGAATATCTTAGTTGAATGAGTCAAAAAGAAGTGCCAAGAGAATCGAGACCATGAACCGCAGCTTGCCGCTAATGAAGACCAGTTCAAACTCTAACAGATAAGTGCACAAGGAGAATTGCGAGGAAATAGGAACTACCTCAGCCCACTAGCTCCGGATTCTACGGAATCTGGAATGGAGTCGTTGAAGGCTTTCGAGATGATTCTTTTGTTATAAATAGAGAGATAATCTTTGTAAAAAGGCATCACAAATATTCTAGCCTTAGTATTCAAAGTAATTAGCAATTATTAACAATCCATAACATTGTTACAATTCAATAATAAAGTGTACTTGTAATAATCTATCAACCTAGTGGATTGGTGGACTCATTGCCACCCGCAGTTTTTACCCTTATTCTTGGGGTTTTCTGCGTCATAAATTCGTGTCTATTCTCCCCTTTTCCCTTTGCTCATTCTATGCATATCTCTAATCTTGAATTCTAGAACCTACATTGTCATTTGCATCCTCATTAGTCTAGCTGTTGTCTAATTGAGCCTAGTCTTATCTGGCAATCAGATTTTAACCTAAACATTTTGGCACCATCTGTGGGGATACCTTAGATCATCTTATTAATTTCATTTAATCTGTCATTCATCATGGTTAGGAGTCCAAGTCAAGATCCTACCATAGCTGAAATCGCTAAGCAGTTGCGGGAAACCCGAGAAGAGTTAAGAGCTGCCCGGAAGAAGAACCTGAAGTTCCAAAGTGAATCTCAATCTCATCAGGCATCCTTGGAAAAGATGAACAAGGAGCTTGAATTTGTCAAGAGCAATAAGAAAAGAAGGTTCAAAACCAGTGATATTCCTTAGTTCCCCCTGATTTCATCCGACGAATCTGAAGGAGAAGATGACATTCCCAAAAATCCTGAAGAGGAGTCTAATAAAAACCTTGACTCCATGGCAAAAAAAGGTGGTTATTATTAAAGCCCAGAATCAGAAAATGATGAAGCTCATGATCCGGCTACCAGGTGCACCAAAAACTGTAGCCTATGAATCTCGCGATGGATTTGCTGAATCCCCCTTCGTTGAAGAGATCGCTAAAGTCAGAATTCCCACAAAGCTAAATATTCTAGCCTTCTCTAAGCTATACGATGGGACCACTAACGTGTAAGATCATGTGGCTCTGTACAAGCAGAAGATGTGGCAGCTATCAATTCCGTGGGAGCTTATCCAGCCCACTATGTGCAAGTCCTTTAGCGCAACATTATCTGGACCTGCACTCCAATGGCTGATTAGTTTTAAGACTAGATCTATCAGCAGGTTCTCTAGCTTGGTGAATAAGTTCTATATGCAGTTCGCAACCAGCAGAGAGTTGGAGAAGCAGAGCAGTGACCTATACTGAGTCGTCTAGAAGCAGAATGGGATGACTATGCAATATTGGGATAGGTTTAATAGGGATATGGTCAACATGAAGAACTACAATAATTCAAATGCCATAGAAGCATTCCGCAGAGGTCCCAATTACCATTCAAAGCTATATTATGAGTTGACTAGATATCCTTGTGCCTCTTTTAAAGAAGTCAAAACCAGGGCAATAGCCAAAGTCCGTGTAGAAGAGGACGAGCAGGCAAGAGGCGTAGTTAAGAAAAGGCCAGTTGGGTTGTAATACCCCGTATTTTTATACATATTTTAATTTAAATCATTATTTTATAAAGCATTTAAATAATTTGAAATGAACTATTTATGGAATTTTATTAATTTAAAAAGAATTATATTAATTAAAGGTCTAT